CCACGGCGGTGTACAAATGTACAATTTTACAAAGAGGGTAGCTGCAATTTTTGTTAAACATATACCTATAACGCACAAATATCGAAAAAGCTCAATGAGCGAAAATAACGTACACAACGCATTATGGTCGCAGGTACATGACCAAACACCGAAATTAATAGCTATTTATACAATAAGTTGCGAAATGAGTGTCTTTTAGGCACGCGACGTGAAAATTGTCCAACGAGGCAAAGCCAAAGACAACACGTCTAGTGACTAAGTTTTTTAATAAGTTGCTAAAGATATTTTAAGTTACAGAATTGGACTGATTAGTAAATTTATACACCTTATTGCATTCAGTTCAAAAGTTTACATAAGTGCACATTTAGTATTTATAATAAATAGATATTTTCATTGATTTTTATGTTTAATTTTTATTTGTAGGCACTAGTGCCGAAAACTTTCACATTTAGGCACTAGTGCCTAAAAGAGTGTCATTTCGAAATTCTAATCAACATCAAAATTTGTCAATTTCGAAACGCTTTCACAAAAATGTTTTTACGTGTTAAGGGTGCCGCTCACTAGAGCGAAGCGACGCAAATCGCACGGTGGTGCAGCGGGGCTCATTTCCGTGCCTCTACACACACAAAGCGCGCTGCTCAGAAGCGACGCGGAGCAACACTCTGCCATCTGTTTACTTATTTAAATCAATGTGAGCGAAAAAGACGAATCTCCGCGCTGCAAAGAAGCAAAAAAAGACCGCTTCGTTGCGCTGCCGATCGGGTGCTCTTCCGACAAGTGTGCGCACTCTCATTTAAAACTATGGGCTCGTTCTCCAGACGAAGCGCTTCATGAGCGCTACCTAAAGGCGGGAATACTCTTGCAAGATTTCTCGCGAGAGTTGCTGTCTAATAGCACTGTCGAAGTGTAAATATCACCGTACGTCCGACTTACAGTGGTATCTACAACTCAACAGTGCTATAAGACAGCAACTCGCGCAAGAAATTTTGCTAGAGTATTCCCATCCTTAGGTACCGCTCATGAAGCGCTTCGTCTGGTGAACGCGCCCTATGTTTTAAATAAAATCCGTTCCGCTGCGCTTTGCGCTGCACTCTAGTGAGCGGTACCCTTTATGGTCATTGACCACACGTTATGGTCAGTTTAGAAGCGACTACAACGCGTTTTGTTCGTTTGAAGAATGATCATATTACATTGAATTATTTAAATATTTAAAAAATATAATATATTTTGAAAATAACGTCATGTCATCACCAAACATTATGACTGGACCATCTTGTATATGACAATATTTTAATTTATGATTGTATTTGAATTTGAAGGTGAAAGTTAATTAATTTCAAAGAAAATGCACATCTGGTGCTGATAACAAGGACGTAGGTGATTCAAAGTAGTGCGTATTATTTCGGCGTAAGTTAGAACGTTTGGCGCGTTCCTTCGAAGCTGGCCTCATCAAGTGTAAGCGTAAAAACACTAGTTACTCGGTTTTCGCCGAGGTGGTGCCGCCTCGATAGATGCTTCAATTCAAACAACTCGTTCACACTTATGTATTTTACGCGAGATTTTACGAGAATCGTCATCTAACAGCTCGCGTACCCTCCTTCGACTCATGTGCCGAGTCGTTTTTATTGCTGCCCGCGGTTTATGCTCTAATGCAAAACGAGGAGATCTCTTCACACGTAAAATCATTTTTGATTGTTTCGAAAACTGGCTTCAAAGTGAAAACCTGATTTCTCGTGAACTATTAATCGAACTTGGATGTATTTTTTTAAATGTAGGTCTTTCCGAGAGCTTTCCATTCGCCTATTATAGTATAGAGTTATATTTTTTTGTTATACTTCGGGAATTATTCCACTTGATAACTGAGAAAATTCTTCGAATTTTGAAAAAAAAATTGCGCAGTCCGTCGATTTGCAAGAATCATCGGCACAAGATTGTTTAAGGGTTTTCAAAAATATCGAATGAATTTTACTTAGTAATAACAAAGTAATTTTCCAGACGAACTGTATCTTATAGAAAATTTTATTCTACACAACTTCATTTCTATTCAGTTCTTTCCTCAGAGCAATAGTTTAACAAGATATTTGAAGTGAAATGTTCCTCCGTTTTTGTCTATAACATTATGTTCCGGGCGTTTCCGGGCAGGGGGACTATGATTTCCCGATTCAGCGGATTTTTTACATAGAATACGCTTGATTTCGTTCAGTGAAATGACAACATCCAGTTTATACTACTTTTAGACCTAATTTGACTGGACTATACATATACCTACATATTTGTTATTCAATTTTATTTTAGATTTTCAAAAATCTGTTATGTATAATTAGATATTGTATCAAATTGTCCCAAATTTGGGATATAACGCCATCGACTATTTTTTAAATGGCAACAGTTTTATGACTATCCCTAAAGCCTATGTAGGTATATCAAGTTACACCAAATTTTTATTTTTTATCATGTAGAAAATATTTAACAGTGGAATGCAAAAAGGTACTACTATGAAATTGAATTAATTTTTCGTTTTAAATCATGTTTGTTACATATCAAATGACTAGAAATAAAAATTGGCACACATATGCAACTTGAAATACTCATTAACAATAGTCATACAAAAATTAGGGTTGCTATTTAAAAAAACAGTCGATGACATCATATTTCAAATTTGGGACACGCTGTATAACATTGTATTACATCAAACACAGCCCGACGTGTACGCGCATATTCCCGAAAAAAAACCTTCCGTTAATTTACTGAATTCGAGACTGAATTTATTCCAAGTTAGAGCATCGCACTCAAATGTGAACAGGGCGTTAGCTCTGCAAAAAAAATAGAGAGCAAAACAAGCACTTTTAAATATACCAAAGCTGCAAAACGCTCCCCTACGCCCCGATAATCCATAAAATGTGCGATTCTTCTTCTCTTCCCTTTTCTAATACTAATATAGAACGAATCCTAGGTTTTTATGATAATCATTTTTCATTTTGTAAGCAAAGTTCCAGAATCACACCAATCTACTTATCTACGTACTCTAAAAGAAGTTGCGAAACATTTCTGATCTCGTAGTAGGTACCATTGCATATAAAATAGCTGTACTACAAATTCCTAGAAACACACTATAAATATTGCGATATTCCTATAATCGATCTGCGCATGCACAAGTACGCTAGCTAGGAGATACGGATTACGACTATATAAAGTGTGGATACAGTAAATTTCAAGAAATTCCGATAATTTCTGTTCTTCGATCAATCAAGAATTACAGTGGGAATTTTCAAAAAAACTAATTAGGGCCATTTTACGAGTTAGCGGGTTAGAGGAGGTTGGTTTTCTATACTACGACTATATTCTCCATGTTTTCTTATACACCCTATATATCAAATGGGGCATTAATGAAGCATATTACAGTCGAACACTCCATTCGTCGGCGGTTGATTTAAATCGAGAATTTCTTAAAAATTATCGCTCCATTTACATAATTATGAAAACCTCCTTAGATATACAAGCTCTGTACTGGTACAATTACTCTACGATTCACCACTTAGTGGTTAGTAACAAATAATAATAACACGCGACCGATTCGCATGTAACAAAAAACAGATGCTTGTTTATTTATCTTTTCGTTATTAAAACGTTTAACCAAATAGCCACCAATGAAATGAATGGAAATGCTAACCCCAACTGTTAATATACTGACAAAAATAATTACAGGATAACGTTATAATTTTCTCATTTTCTGTCTCAAAGAAAGGACATGATAGCCATGAAGGTGGAGTCTTGATAACTTAAAAATGATATTGATATGAAATGTTCGAGGAAATGTTTATAGATCATTTTTTTGGCTGATCTCTGCATTTAACAGAAAATTTATAAGGAGTATAAACATGGCAGTGGACGCCATAGCACCACCAAAAGATGTGCCACTTGAATTTACGTAACTATTAGATCATTTTACGAATACTGAAACTTACTTTATGAATCGCTAATGACATTTCACAGCTTATTACATGCCATCAGCACGTTCCCAGTTCCCAAGCAGTTGCAGCACACAAGTAATGAGTTTATGCATGTTTACAGCTTTTTTAGCATAATTTTAGCCTAATATATGACGCGTAGTGCAATTTTATTTTTACCATTCTAAATATGTAGTGTCAAATTTTAATTAGAAATTAACAGTAAATTACCATACTGCAAAAATGTCAAGATAAATTCCCTTTTAAAACAGTGTTCATCGACATCCACTTGTATATTGTACTTGTTAAAGTAAAAATTATACATTATATAGGGTAAATTAGTAATTGGTGGACTTGCTGCACCTTGCAATCCATACAGTCATGGTATTTTGTATTGCTAAGAACTTGACTTCGATTCTTTGGATAACAGTGAAATACAAAGATGTTTACCACCAATTAATTTTTTATCCTTGACTAATCCAACAAATAAAAAATAGATTTAATTCAAAACACGTTGAAATAGCGGTTAATGAAGGTTACCGAAAGTCACTAATATATTCAAATTTTGTTTTCTATACCCAAAAAGGGAAAATATTTCAAACGACTGATAACATTCCAGTAGACGAATGTTTTTCGGATTTTCCATTTTTCTATAATTAGAGACAATTCGATTTCTAGCAAGAAATAAAGTGGGACTTGGCAATAAATATTTTTTATTACCGTTAGCAATCTTTGTAATTTATGACATTCATGGCTCATAATTTATACAACCGATTGCCTTTATTCCACTCCGATACTAACAAAATATTCCTAACTACCATTTAGAATACCACCCGGGTAAAAATTATAATACCAAACTCAATTATTTCCGATCGTTAAAACATTTAAAATGATTTATTGATCGAAATAAATATCTTGGTATAAACGTGGAAATTAATTAAAGAGTTCTTAAAATTAGTACTATACTGAATGTGAACAAAATTAAAAACGTATGCGCTCACTCAATACAGTTTGCTTAAAATTAAGGAAAAATAAAGAAAAATTTTACAATACCATTGTACTCACCGCATACCACTCGGTCAAATGGGCTCATCCAATCTGTAACACACCAAAATATTTTTGTTAGTTTTTTTCCCACTGGCAATATCATGTACATTGTAACAAAACACAAGTATTAGCCCTCAAAAAGCCTCTATGTTTCCTAAAGTATGTTTTATCGCCTATTCACTACTTTCTTTCATATAATGATTGAAGGTTATTTAAGAGTGTGCATCTTTACTATTTAATTTTTAACCTTGGAAATGTTTATATTTTCGTATATGAGTATACAGTTACGAGTTTCGTTCAAGCAGAAAAGACAACGGAGTCGCATTAAGTGACGACTGTACTAGTACTGTACTCCTTCAGCCGCGAATACTGTTGATACGGTACTTACTTATAGAATTGTTTTGTTAATTCCAATGTAAAATTCTCGCAGAATGTTACGGCGCTTATTATTTTCAGAAGGGTGAGGTTTGAGACACGAGCGAATGCAGCAAGTGACCCGATTGAATAAGAATTATTTGTGTTTTACATTATGGCGTTATACGGTTGCCATTTCCAATGTGTCCGACAGTTGCATGGATTGCGAAATCTGTGAATTTGTTTATACCTACTTAACTTGCAGTTATAGTCTTTTTTTGGTAACATAGGCTGTACTGGCAGTTGCCACAAGAAACGTATTGCTTAAATCACATTGTAAAAGCTATTACATGAGGTTTTTTATGTGCTGGATTTTTTTGAATTTGTGGATTTTTATGAATTAAAATCCAAAACTGTATTTTTCATGAAATTTTTTTCGGATATGCTTGTTTCTTTAACATTTGTTGACAGTTGACACCAAACCATTATTTTTTGACGGCCCTACATTTATACAAAAAAGAGAAAATCACAGCCATTGATTGCTACTAGAACAATTATTAAACACTCGTGAAACGTAAACACAATTATTACAGCTTGTTACATAAACATATGAAGTAAACCTGCTTCGAGACCTTTCTTGTTATTAACTACGAGATCAATAGATGTAGTAACAGGAGAAAGCAAAAATGTGGATATTTGTTTAACTGTTTTAAGAGGAAAATGCGACCTATTGAAAACCATTACACCGTTAAACAACATATGAAGAATCCCATACAATTTTCAGCAGGGGAATTTTTACGGAGCTCGCATTTAGAAACACAACTTTTAATCCGGCTCATATTCAATACCACTGCTCCCTGAACTCGTAGAAGTCGAACGGCGAAGGTCGCTGTCTCTTTTCTTTGTCGGGTTAGACAAGGAATAGACATACAGACGGACGGGCAAAACCATCACATAAGGGGACTTTCGAGGGGAATTCCTTTCGATAAATTCCCCTAAAATTTATTCACAGAAAGAGATACTGAAAACAAAAACAATTACTACCTGGTTCCATGTTATTTCCGAAGATACACTATAGCGAATTTTCTAGAGCGATATCAAGCCGTTATCACGTCAAAAAAGATTAGTCAAGGGCGATAAGGAATGAAAGTGGACGCGACTTATTCTTTTAATGAAATATGATATGCTAATTCGAGACTTCTCTAAAAGCTTTTTGTTTGTTATGTAAGCAAATTGAATTGTGTTTAGCCTAGTGTTAACAGCGATTCCCAAGCGATAAACAACGAAATACGCGCTAGTACGTATAACGTTTTCCGTGTTTTGTAGCACACTAATTTTCCATTCGCGGTACGATTAGGATAATATAAAGAGAAAATTAACGTCAACATTGACATCCGAATAAAAATACAAAAAAAGATTAACTAATTTCTATATTTTATTTTGCCTTTATTTTTCAGCGCACGGGATTTCAACCAACTAAAGCATGCTTTAATTTAACACAGTGGCGTAGCTCTGGTCATAAGCCCTACTCTCCCCATTATCAATTTTTGCTCACCCTCTCATCCACAAAACATTCCTGCCAATGTTTGATCACTGCTACTTTGAGAACATCACCAATTTTTCGATGACAATTTAATTTATGTACAAAAAATCGCATAAGTCGCAGTGCAATTGTCACCTTGACAGCGGCAAAAGTTACCTGCAACTTTTCCAGCGACAAATGCACTAGTGTTTTTTTCACTTATTCAATTTCTAACCAATTATCGCATTATCCGTTCCGATATGACTATTATTGACATACAGTACATGCTTGCCAGTTGCCAAACGTGACAATGACAGCGCAAGGAGATTATGTATTGTTTTAATACTTCAATTTAATCATAAGTCAATTCGACATCAATGCGGTTAGAAACAAGGATAGTTTTATCGAAGATGACGCAAACTAGTAAGAGAGACATTAGTCCACAAGACCCCATACTGCATCTGGAGGTGCGAACGCGCTATAGTATGACATTTGTCAATAATTGATTGATGTTGTGAATTTCTTGTTCGTTAAATTGTCCTGCCGAATTACACTCCAAGTTTGTATTGAAACCGAGTAAATTTGTGTTGTTGGAATTCAAATCTGTTTGTGTGTCGCATTTTTATTAGTTGACAGTTTTTCTCGTCTAATTGCTAGGCAACAGATTTTCATTACCTAAACAACCCAAATTTATTCGGTAAAATACAAACCTCTTGTGCAATTATAAGTGAAAATCCCGCTCCCCTCCCCCTAATCGCGATTCCCCTAATCTACGCTAATGGTTAAACTAAACTGCAGTGTCAAGTCACCGATAATATTATTAACATCTTTATAAATCGGATATAAATACGGATAAAACGTAAACAAACAAAAAGCCAATGGAACGGTATAGGCAATTAAGTTTATCTCAGAGAACAATTGAACATTAACATATAACTGCAGTGAAAAAACTTAAAACATGTAAAATGATAACCTCTGAACTCTAACCTTCACTCCTGTGTTTGTAATTATGGCGAATAATACTCACTACATACTGTATCTGCAACTTTTTATTAATCTCCATCAGTAATTATAACAACTTATGATTACATTCTTCCGATTATTATTACCACTATTACCGTATTTCTCCGAAGGGAATGCCGCCATTATAATTATAATCACTTTTATTTATTAATGATGATTGATTTAAGTACAAAACGTTCCGCCGTTTTGATTATTTTCGAATCGAGGTACAAATTTTGGATTGGATTCTCTAAACTATCAGGGAAGTACCTTATAGTGTACCCTTTCGAATGTAATCTTATGTCTCGCATAATGTTTGTCACTTTGAAACGGCACCTACGCAAAAGTATGTAATTAATATGGTTAAATAATGTACAGTCACATCACGTGTGCCTTAATGGTGAATGCCCTGAATGCGTTATACGTTGTGAGAAAATTCAAATCCAAAATATATTTCAAATATGCAGAATGCATTTGTAAAAAAGAAGTTTCGTGAAAAGTAATAGTCTCGTTCTAAGTTAAAGCATAATTATCCACACTATCTAAATTTATTAGCTTAATTAAAAGGTTTAATCTGCCAGTTATTCTACATAAAATTATAGACATATAAACCTAGTATGGAGATAAAAACATAGTAATATGCCACCTACAAAATTTATGCTAATTTAAAATACACGAGTTTGGAATAGTACTATTAAAAAATATTTTCGTAATTTATGTTTCATAAAATCGATCAGACGATGGAGCAGGCTACCGTGCCAAAGTTTTACAAATGAAAGTGAGAGGGAGTAAGGATATAACAATCTTAAAAAAATGCGAAGACAGAATATAAAATTACCTAGATTAAATTAATTGGGCATTTCTTCACAAATTTAAAATAGAATTGGTTTTTCGAAAATTCGAGAAGAAAATGCTATTCATTTTTTGCCATCTAGATTCTAGTAAAGAAATGTGGAGGAGGGGGGTTAGATGAGATCATTAAATATGTAACGGAACCCTTCTCCCTATTATACATAATAGTTTGTCCGAAAATTGTCACGTTTTATGACATCTACAATTTTCTGCTCTGGAGTTTAGGTTGCGCCCCACAGAGGTGATCGTGTAAAATTTAAAATAAAATCCCACATTTTCTGTTTGCCATTTTTACGAAAATTTTATGAGAAAACCCTATATTTATTACTTTCTCAGATATAACCGAGTGGGCTTTTATATTCATCCGGTACCTATACAGAGTATTTAAACTGAAGTCGACGCTGTTGCTTACTTTGTTGCTATTGAAGCGGATAAATAATAAAACTGCAATGGCCAAATGAGATGCTTATGGTTAATAATGCATGGACCAATTACGAAATTGGCGCTCACAGGCAATGGGGGCTTAATTCTGAGACCAAACTGAATAGAAAACCCTGTTACACATTTGCGACAAATACTTTTCAACTTTTCAAGGTACGAGATTGCAACAAAAGACTTTCTAGAAAATAATAAAAATGGTGGACATTTTAAACAGATATAATTTATTAGTTAAAATAAAAGATAATTCTTCATTTCTTTCTAATTGTTTTGCAACCTCGGTATCTTGTATGATCGTAAAAGTGTAATAGGGTTTTCTCCTCGGTTTTCTCTTCAGTTTTAGGTATCTCAGAATGATGCCCCTATTCTGTGGGCGCGATTTCGTAACACCCTGCATAATCAACCTAGAAATTCATTTGTAGAATATTCCAAACTAACGCATACAATTGTTCTTTTGATCGACGTCCTACTCCAAAAATAATAAACCTAAAGCGGATCTAAAAAAACGGCAGAGCACCTCGGTGATAATTGGATTTGGCTCATTTTCCATTCGAAGCGTATCTTGTTCACGGACAGACGGATACCATCGACTCCCCTATAAATCTTGCTCTGCTGCTTAATAAATAAATCTCCCCGATGGCGATGAAGCAATTTCGAGAACAATTTATTTCTTTTTTGAATTCCTTAAATTTCTATCTCGGAGAAATTAGGGTTCTATTCCATGAATTAAACATTGTCATTAGCATACATATTAACTCATTTAATAGTGTTAATAAATTGATTTAATACATCAATAATTTGCAAATCGAAAAACGATTTTTAGCGGGGTTGGAAAGATCGGAGGTGAAATTATGATTTTTATTTTTCCAATACCTCATGGTTATGAAAAGCCCGATACACTGATACCCGAGCTGATACCTGTACTAAACGCTAAATTATACTTTTAATTCTAATTCTGAACATAAATTTGTAACCAAATATACATACTGGTAGACAAATAGAAGTTGCTCAAGTTAAAAATGTTTTACAATTGATCAAGGAATTTTCATTATTCGTTTTGGTAGAGCGAGTGTTTTTATTACATGGGCAAAATTCAGAAAAATACTACAGAAAACAAATACTGCAATAAGAAAGAAGCAGAATGAAATGGAACTATTTTGTTTACGTATAGTATTTTAGCGCGATTAACGTTCTTTAACATTGAAAAAAAATTAGCCTGTTTGTTTAAATAAAAAATAAAATTTAAAAAATCTTTTGATTTAACATTTATTTTTATACAAAATGACTTCTGAATTCAAAATCGAGGCAGATTTTTATGAACAAACAGAATGAGCAAAAACTCCAGACATTTTAAAATTTTTTGAACAGATTCCAAATGGTGTCCACTCCAACAAAAAATGTGCTGCAGCTCACCATAAATGTCACAGGGTTGCTCTGGTCGCGAATTAAATGACATCAAAATCAAGGGAGTTTCTGCAATCACTTATGCCCCGATTATAAGTGATTGTAGTAAGTAATTTCGGATAGTGAACACCTTTTCGCAAAGCCGCTTATTTGAGAAATTCCAGTCTAAATGAAATTTGATATTTAAAGATTTTTGTACATGAAAAAGACAAATTAAGCACCGTTTTTGCAAATATTAACTGTTCAACTAATATTCTTGGGATAGTCCGGAAAAAATTATCATAATAAAAAATAAATATTATAAACAATATAGGCAATACAGTAACAATATTAATATCAAACCGATAATCAATATAAAATACAAGTATAACTAGTAATTTACCTAATTACAATATCCTGATAATTTTGGACTCGTTATTTTATGTTGAAAAACACCCAGACCAAAATCATAATTTCTGTTAATTTTTTTAAAAAAATCTGTTGCGGATATAATTAAAGGCGCAAGTTGGTAAAGACGGTCTTTATGGAACATGGATAGGAGACAACAAATTTTTAGGACATATTTTCCAAACACAACCTTTTGAGCTATTGGTTTATTTGAAAAATAACGATTCTTTGGGATTATACATCCACTCCCTTTTTTTTTAAATTTCAATCACATGCACTATAAGATTTTTCAAATATAGATCTCGAGACCATTAAATGCAACTTGACACATTAAGATAATTTTTACTGAAGTTATAACACCATTTAAAAGCCTTAAACGGCGAAAACAATCTTTAACTATAACAATCATTTTTTTTAATTAAAAAACAATCGTTATTAATTAGAATGTGAAGTGATTAAAGCGATAAATGGTAACGGTAGAAAAGTAAAACGTTGTAATTATAAAATTAAAATACTTGGAATTGCTGTTCTACTAGTAGTTCGTTAGTAACTTATTCAAATAACGAAAATGATGAAGAAAAATAATAGAATTTCTTAATTAATTAGGAAGGATACTTTAAATGTCGCTTTGAGTCCTCCCACGGACGATTCAAAATAATTTAGTAATTAACAAACTTGAATTTTTTAATCTTCATTTATTGATACGTCGTAAATATATCGATACCTCCAAATGACAAAGTTCTATGAAAATGTGCTTGGAACTGCTTAGTTGTAATTTGTATATACCTAGTCTAATTAACGTAGGTATAGACAAAACAAAACCACACTTAAACGAACATAAACAATCTTTTATCATAACGATCTCATCGGGTGGCTCTTTTTTTAAAGAGTAACAAGACCTTTTAAGGAACAGTATTTACTTTTCCTATAATTCACCCTTCAAATACATGATGCGTTGCTTAAGGGAGACTAAATGAACGGTTATACATTCAAGATGGTTCACAAGAACCGTCGGCTAGTCATATCAAGGGGATCAACTTGTGCTATTGACTTCAATTGTTTCAATGTTTTTAGATTAATTATGGCGACCGACAATTTCGAATAAACCGTAGGTCCACACCATATTTCTGATTGAAAAAAAAAATTTCAATTACAAAAAGTAGAAATTCGCCCGAAATTTGATAGTTGAAACAAGTGCAAAATTAATTTGTTTTAATGGAATCATATCCGCTTTGTTGCATCGATGGTTTAAAAATGTTTACTTACGATCGATGCCCCTTCTACCCTACTTTTTGAAATACATACATACATAATCCTTCCTCTTCTACCTTACGGTGTCGAGGTGAATATTGGTAAAAAATTATATTCTTTAAGTAAGTACTAAATCAAATGATCTTTGAAACAAGCGCAAGTTTAAAATAGAAAAAATAAAAAAAAAATAAAATAAGTAGGTACATTTTGTCATTTCGAAGTTTAGGTAAGCCATATGAGTAGAAATGGGTAGGTATAGGAAGATGATATACCTACCATTCGAAAACAATTTAATTTGTGCACCATTGGTGTGACAAAAAGATTATATTAAAAATTAAATTATTTACAACTGATATCAACTTTCTTACTTCTTACACTAGCTTACATGCAGTTTGCATACAATAATACTAGTTTACATAATAATAACGTTGTGAGTTTACGCGGGAATCAGTTTCAAGAGCGAGGGTCCCACTCCGGATTCCTTAAAATTCATTGGAAAATTGGAAATAAGAAATCCACTTCCGATATAATCGGGAGCTGCTCCATATTTAAAATATTTTAAGTCTAAAAAACTTTGGGAAACGGCAGCATGAATAAATAATCGATAGTATGAGTAATTCCTCACCGAGTTCCTCACCTATAATCAAAGGTGACGAATATTTTGCACCGCCCCCACTTTGAACCCATTTTTTTTTTAAATAGGTATTCCGATAATAACGTGTATAACTATTAAAATGAATTACAGAAGCTCCCTAATAAAATACCTACCTAAATGCGATTAGGCCAGTTCTCGCTCTCAAGCGAAAGGGTTCAATGCAGATGAATGCATTAACATCAGCTGCGAATTTAATGTGACGAATATGTGCGAAATTGTGAAATACTATATCAGCCTGAATATATTTCCTATTTCAGTAATGGTTTAGCACCTGTACTACCGCAACTACACCAAAACAATTAAAATTTGTAAATAACATTACATTATATGTAAAAAAAATTAATTATAATTACTACTATGGCAATTGTTTCATCGCCTACTACCATAATAAATATGGTACCATTTACAAAGCCTTTTCTGGCACAAATAAACCTCAGTAATAGAAAATCAGTAGATGAACACTGTTTCTATAGAAATATCCAAAACAGGGGCTACAAAATACCTGACTAAAGGTCACTGTATTTCACAGACAACCTTGGCAAGGAAAAACAAAAGCTGAACAAGTCACCAAGTGACGACACCTGCTTTTTAGCACCTTGTCAAAAATGCAAAATGTTCTATTTCAGAACAAATTAAAAACTAATTGTACCTATTTGGCCATTAAAGCAATAGTACAAACAGTCAGATGTATTGAACTTAAGTGCTACTACCTATCCAGGTAAGTGACAAGTACGCGCATGTGCCACTTTAATCACGTAAAATTTTCGAAATGGGATTTGCATGTTTCATGTCACAAAAATGGGGGAGAATTTATTTTTATTTACCATCATAAATTAAAGGGGGAGAATTGTGAATAGGTAGTATATTGTCGCCATGGTGGTTACCGGCGAGTATGGATAGTGATCTACATGCATAATGTATATAAAAATGAGATTAAACACCATGAAAGTTAAATTACAGTTGATGTTTAATGCTAATTAATCCAAGATATTTGGACGAGGTGGTTTCTAATTTTATTGCCCATTTGTAGTCATTATGTATGCATGTCGTTGGAAAATTATCGATTCGCTATTGTTTTAAAAACAAACAAACGAATTGGTGATTCCGCAATTGACATGACTAACCATTGATTAGCTTCGCCGTACCTGAAACCGATTTAAATAATTACGCAGGCATAAAAAATCCAACTTAAGACGGCAGAAAACGATTGAAATGTATAGCGCAATGGGCATTGAAATCGACGTTGTTATATGCATTGAGAGTACATTTTATGACTTAACTTTATTGTTATTGCCCGCTAAGTGGCCATTAAATGTGTGTTTTATTGGAATTTTAGAACACAAAAGTCAGAGAATTGCGTTTATAGTAAAACCTATTGTGTAATGTTATGATGTACATGATAATAGCAAATAAACAAAACATTTGTTCGAGAGTAATTTGGTGGACTTGACCGAGATGTGAATGAGCCGTCGGTATACGACAAGCGCGCGCCGCCCGCCGCCGACGCATCGGTTTCATTAACCATCCGGTCAGTTTACGTTTGCTAAATAAACGATTATTTTACTCACCCGTAATCGACATCCACGGGTACCGAGGTATATCTGGAAGTGGCTGACCGCCGGGTGCGGTAGGTTGTGAACATGAATTGAGCGGGTCCACAACGGCGCTCGCTGCTTGATGATAAAATTGGGCGGCAACGGCCATCGATGCCGACGCTGCACTTACGGAACTTGCAGCCGACACCGCGGCCCCGTTTTGATGATGATGACCCAATGTGTAATTAACCATTGAATCTGTAGGGGCTACATTACTAGTTAAACCGGCCGTGTACCTGCACGATTTGTCATTTGCGGCATCCACGGCTGCGGCGGCGGCTAGTGCAGCCGTGCTGCTCGATGTAAAAGCGCCAGGAACCATCGTACCCGAGGCGGCGGCGGCCCCGAAGGCGGCCGCTGCAACCGCCTGTTGTTGATGGTGGTGATGTGCTGCGGCCGTTGCTGCGGACACATAGGGATACATTCTTGAAGCGGGTGACGTAGAAGATGCACTACTACTGGAATGTTGCGGTGAAGAGCCACTAGGAGAGCCGGAAGAACTATAATTAACAACGGAAGCGAGACTAGCTTCGATACTAGACGTAGTAGGACTTTGAAATAATTGTTGATGATGGAATTGCTGATGATACTTAGGGAGCATACTATCAATAATAAATTTGGAACTCATGCTGGTGGGCAATGTTCCGTTCACTGCACCGCGCACTGGTTGTCATAGTCCATAGTTTTAACACCGCACTCGCTTTACGACCGCACACTTAAAAGCAATTTGACAATGTCGTTTAACCCTATAGCAGCGAATTTCTTACACGCTCTTCTCCAATACTTCTTCGAATCCTTTATGACCCATGTATGTTCAGTATATAGCCCTCTATGCCTTATCCGCGGTACTACTAGAGCGGTAATGGCGCCCCTCCATGACGATGCCAATCGGAGCAGGTGCGGCTCCGTCCAATGCCGATCGACTCTCTACCACGCGACGTTCGATAGCTACCAGCCCAGGCGCCAGGCCCCTAAGTGCCTCAGTACTACACTGAGAATTCAATAGTAAACTACGACACGCCACGCTCTTCGCTAACTCTGAAGTTTCTCTTAATTTTAATTGATATTTTCGTACATGTTTTACAACAGATAAACTAACATTTTATTTCGCTTGTGAACAGCCACAATTACATCACCTCCTTTTACAACCTCATTAAACCCAACTATGATTTATATTCATGCAAGCATACATAAAAAGGGCTTACCTTTACGATTCCGGAATTCCTTCCTTCAACTGTAACAAAAACATGTTTTAATACAATTGTGACGTTAATACTATTAAACTATTTCCTATTTTCGCCTACATAAATTATGAACGATGAGGAATTATGCAAATTAGTAACCAGTGGCGGGGTTACAATCTGGTATAAGGCCTGATTACATTATTTTCGGCAAATTTAATTAATACTTTTTATAATAACATCGCACGTTTTAAGATGAATTTCAGGTATCCCAGGACTATTAATTGAATTTTAAAATCTAAGACATTCATTAATTTCAGTTCGACCATTTTATTTATAGCACGTCAACCTTTCCCTTCCCACTCTTTCAAGGCAGCAACAAAACGCGCACGCAAGATGCGCCAACAATAACTTCCCGCATTTCGAACTCGTTATGATTTTTGAGTAAATATTCATTTCCTACTTTTCTCATCGCGAAATCCCTAAAGAGAGGCAGGCAAAGTGCGAACTGCAGTGCAGCTCCGTTTCTTACTTTGCCTGTTGCATTCGTCATTTCGCGAAATGCCTAAGCATTTTGCAAAATGCCGGATTTCGCAGTTTGCCGGTAAGTCCTTACGAAAATTTCGCTACCCCAGTGGCGGATTTAGGATTTGGTCTAGGGAGGATATAAGAATAGAACATTTTTGACATAATATACGAATATAATGTACTTATATCATATTAAAATATAATGACCTAATTCTTAATTAACTAAAAAAAGAAGATCAAACCAAAAAATTTTTAAACAACAAAATCGAGTTTTCTTTCTGTATTTGCAAATCGGTTTATAACATTTTCTACATTTAATTCAATTTCTCTGTGAATGTATGTACAGAGTGACAATTTGAAAACTTACCACCCCCCATATCTTAGTAAATAAACGAGATATTTAAAAAAATCAAAATCCGTTTCGGTAATTCGGTGGGGGAATCACAATGACATAGTTGGCGACGCACCCCCTCCAACCCCCTGCGCCCCAGCCACCCCAACTTTTAAATCTTAAATAGTGACCCCCCATGTGTGATACGTCGTTGGAAAGCTCTGAAAAAATGCTTTCCAACCATACCAAATAGCATTACATTTAGGTTAGTAATTATCGTGCAAATCAAAAAATAAACTAATATGATACATTTGAAATCTGTCGTATTTAAAACGCAACCGGCGAACATAGACGAACTAAGACAGAGAATAATTCAAGAATGTCGAAATATTGTAAAACCAACATTTGAAAAGGTTCGACAAGAGTTTGAGAATAGTTTATAACTGGCGATCAAAAATGAGTTGCTGTCGAGTCGGCTTTGGAAGTTCAAGTTAAATACGAATTTCCATGTTTATTTTTTGATTTGCACGATAATTACTAACCTAAATGTAATGGTATTTGGTATGGTTGGAAAGCATTTTTTCAGAGCTTTCCAATGACGTATCACACATGGGGAGTCACTATTTAAGATTTAAAAGTTGGGGTGGCTAGGGCGCAGGGGGTGTGAGGGGGTGCGTCGCCAACTATGTCATTGTGATTCCCCCTCCGAATTACCGAAACGGATTTTGATTTTTTTAAATATCTCGTTTATTTACTAAGATATGGGGGGTGGTAAGTTTTCAAATTGTCACCCTGTATATGTTGGGCGCAAAGCCCGAAAACGGCCAATGGTCGTTTTTTTGCTCAATCTTAGGATTGGACTATCTAAAACGACCAAAGCCCGAATTTCCTTTCAATTTCGGGCTTCGGTCGTCTCCAAACAGTCAAACCTAGGACCGTGTAAATATGAAACGACCAAAGTTTAATAAATTCGGTTCCAGTGTCAGTGTGAGGTAGGTATGACATTTTAACCATTGGGGACGTAGAAAACGTAGAAACGTAGACCAATTTTGAGCAACAACATGAACTCAAGAGCAGTGGCGGAACAATGTAGCCACGGGCCGGTGTGCGAAATTTTTTGCTGGGCCCCCATTATGATACGAAGTATTGATAACAATATTAATTTAGGTATGAATTTTGGCTACAAAAAAACCAATTGATAAGTATTTATGTTCCTGAACCTGAACATAGAAAAATACGAGGAAAAATATGTGGTAACCTTAGAGTCAGAGCGCGGATTCAGCTTTACGCTTATCATTTTCCCAAGATTTAGAAAATTGAATCTTACTTTCTCTGAGTTTCTCAGTTAACTTTTACTATTCAGAAAGTCATTCGTTCGGTTATAGTGTTATCTCACGACTCATGACAATTTATAGCAAATTTTTGTGTACCCTTGAGCCTTGAAGTTATGCTGCGTATTTTAGTACAACAAAATTAAATTTAGTACATTTTCATTGACATTTCATTTTCAGTACAATTTAAAAAATTACTCAATCGTCTGCAGTTGGTCTCACGCCGTGATAGAGGTATGCTGCAAAAGGTTCCATTTACCGTGTTCCGTGTTTCCGTCTTTCCGTGAACAGTGTATTATTTCCGAGTATGACAATCCCGGGTCCCGGGCCCCATTTTAGCCCGGGCCCGTGTACTTCGCACACATTGAACACCGGTAGTTCCGCCACTGCTCAAGAGGGCAGGTGGATCTTATAGATATGCAAACAGGACCAGAGGGAGACTATAAATTTATTTTTCAGGACCATCTAACAAAATCAGTGTTTTTAAAACCTTTGAAATTTAAAAGAGTTACGGAGGTACCTTACAATCTTTAAATCGTTAAATATCGAGTAATGCCTGAGTTGCATACAAAATTGTATTTTTCATCGTTCCAAATAATGCATTTCCAATATGCAAATGTAATGATTATTGTTTGTCCAACATTAAAATGGTTCATATGAATCAAGTAGCATCTTTTTGTATTACATAATATTACTCCATCAATATATTTGACAGGTCGTTTGAGGGCATACTGAGGTGACAATCCATTATGCCCTTGGGCGTAATAGACTGCTTTATATATCTCATATGACAGATACAATTGGCATACAGAGTGGCCAAACGACAAGTATACAGAGGGCTTTTAGGGTATTAAATTTAGAAATTTCGAAAAATCCTCGAACACGTCAATTTTGTATTCGAGGGGGACAACTTTTGGAATACAAATCACGAACCCAAGTCTTCACCCCTCTACGTAGGGAGCTTAACCCCTAACATTTTAAATGGAATCCTATGGCAAATGGGACATTATTTGAAAGCCAATTTAATCGTGATTACTAATCTGCTTTGCTTTTTAAATTCTATTGATTCGTTTCGGAGATAATTCGCATTTAAAATGGTTTTTTTCTAAAAAAAACCAAAATAAATGCGATCTAAGTCACTTTGTATTAAAATTTTATTTTGACGCTTCAATTTGTTTGTTAAACTTAAGTGAACCTGTCAGTTCTCCGAAACGAATCAATAGAATTTAAAAAGCAAAGCAAATTGAAGACTTGGGCTCGTGATTTGTATTCCAAAACTTGTCCCTCTCGAATACAAAATTGACGTATTCGAGGATTTTTCGAAATATCTAAATTTAATAGTACCCTAAAAGCCCTCTGTATACTTCTCGTTGGGCCACTCTGTATAATAAGCAAATGAAAAATAAATAAAATTTTTGAATGAAATCAAAATAAAAAATTTTTGTACATAAAAAGGAGGGGTTGGTTTTTAAAATGTTAAAGTAGTTTTAGGCGGGAAGTTGGCAAAACTGTTACATAGAGGGAAGGGGGGGGGGGGGGGGCGAAATAAATGCGTTACGTCATTTATGAGTTGCCTTTCCAAAGATTTTGAATGTTAGTGAATTTCTATTGAGTCACTAAAAATGTGTATTAGCTTTGGTTATTTCCTAATTACTCAAAGTTAAGTTTGGCTGCTACAGGACGACCAAAGCCCGAAATTGAATTAGAATACGAGCTTTGGCCATTTTACATAGTCCAGTCCTAAGCTTGAACAAAAAAAACGACCATTGACCGTTTTCGGGCTTTGCGCCCAACATATATAACAGTTAAGACGGATTTCAATCATTGTGGATCTCAAATAACTTTTTAACAATCTAAGGCTTGAGAAACTCGTTTCAGCGGTTGTAACAGAAATTGTAAAAGTGCAAATAATTTGTAAAAGTTTCTTCATGGTAGGATAATAAATTTTGCCACAATTTTGAAGACCTTGTAATGCATTGTAGTAGACAATGTCCATGGTGCAAAAATTTTGTTTATAAAGTTGCACTTCACCCAGAAGTTGTGCTTACGACGGGTTATTTAGCAGATCTCCGTACTCATTTACCTATTATTAAAACGTAATTATCGGTGACGGCCTGAAGCGAGCATTGGGTACGTACCTATTAATATATTTAAGCCTCGATTTAAGCTTAAATATGACAAAACGAGATTTTAGGTCAACTATTAAATTGTCAAAAATTGGAATATAGATAACTCTCTTCCAATAGTCACTAGGTGGCAAATTCTTAAAATCAAAGTACGTATTCCTTGTGGCTTGTCTGTTGCAAAAGCGAGGAACCTTAAAACAAGTTAAAAAGTAATCGTAAACGATTTACAAAAAGCGCATTTCCACTTGCATTCATTTCCCATTTGTAAGATGCAACTTCTGTTAAAATCGTAAAAATCCGGCCACAAATGTGAAAGATAGCGTTGCAAATGTGTAATCCATTTTTGACGTGCTAATTCAATTTCAGTTTAGAAACACTTTAGAAAGAATTTCATTTCAATGCCTTTCTAAATAAGAAAATCTAAATTTTGAAACTAACGTTAGATTTTCCTTTGTTCCAAGCGCCTATGCATCAAATTTCGTTTAAATTCTTCCATAAATAAAACAGTTGGCACTGCGCATGCGCAAAACCAAATTTTGAAACTAGCTTTTGATTTTCCTTTGTTCCAAGTGCCTATGTATTAAATTTCGTTTAAATTCTTCCATAAATAAAAAAGTTGGCACTGCGCATGCGCAAAACCAAATGTTGAAAATGGCTTTTGATTTTCCTTTATTCCAAGTGCCTATGTATTAAATTTCGTTTAAATTCTTCCATAAATAAAAAAGTTGGCA